TTTCATCTTCATCTTCTTCCCAAAACACATTCTTTCTCAAATCACAAAACCTAATTCTTTTCAAATATCTTGAAGATTAGCTTTTAAAAAAAGATATATATACATTTTCATACTAAGAGTGAAGAAGAAAGAAAATTTTGCCGGCGGTTATTCATTTCTACATCGATGACAAAATGAAATTGATAGCTCAAAAATTAATTCTTTCAAATTTTTGAATATCATTTTTGATAAATTTAATGGGTTTATATATGAATTTGAGTAAAAATCTTTGTTCGAAAATTGTGATAAACAAATATCGGCTAACTTTTTTTATACGTAAAAATCATTTATCCACTTTCTTCTTCTTCATATTTGTTCCTTATTTTTATGAGATTTGAAATAAATCATACGAAAGTAAAATCTGAATCTTCATATTTGGAATCTTCATATACGAAACCTAATTGATGACATTTTACCCCAATTGAACTGTCATGTTTAAATTCAAGCTTTAAATTTCTTTTGTGTTTCATAATATTAAGGGATGATCATTCATTATATCCCACGTTCAGACGCTATAACAAATTAAAAAAGTTGTGTTTTGTTTGATCTGCTAAATAATTATGCCATTTTTCCAAACACAACTATATATTTTCACTATTTGCTAGAATTGTGGGCATGGGGACAAGCATAAAAGAACACTTCTTTCATAAACTAATAAGTAGCATGTAAATCTTAACTCAATACTTATGGATATTGTGAGCTCACTCGCTCAAATTGAACTCATATTATGATTCTAAAACATTTAATCAAAATAATGTGCTATAGCATGTGTATTTGGGAGAAAATTTTCAACTAAATTTCATGAATTAACTTTTAATGATCTTAAAGGGTCATCAGATTTTTTATTTTATTCTTGTATTTAGTTAATTTGTAGAGTGTCTAATTTGGCGTATTTTTAAGTCTCTGTCTACAACATATATACACATGAAGCCTTCTCAAATATGTTAAGGGCCAAGAAGATAATGCCCAAGTCAATAAATATGTTCAGAGGGTGTTTAGATATTTTAAAAATGATTTAAAAAAAGTTAAAGTTAAAAAATAGGTACTTTCCTAATTTTTATTTTTCAAGTTAAAAGTTTGATTTTGTAATAGCTACCTTTTCAAGCTAGCTGTGCCAATAGATTTAAATAACTACGTCTAGCAAGCTAGGGCCTAGGAAAAGGGACTTACATTATAGGATCGGTATAAGTTCGGGAAAATTATTTGAAAAGATCATCCTTAAGACTTAACTACATAGCTAATAATACTTTTTAAATATTATAGATATAATTTATTTATTTTTTGAAAAGATTATTATAATTTCTAATTTAATGATTTAACAAATAATCTCTTTATAGTAATTATGTATATATGCATACATATATATATATAACTATACTACCCAACATATACAATCAGAATAAAAAGATAGTGTATACTTTAACCATGTTGGTAAAGCATATGGCTAAAAAAATTAATTACGTACAGTTTGATTTTGAGGTTACCAATATATATTTAAGATAAATCTCATCGTCAGAAAAGTTAATTTAATTATCAATAAAGACATCTCTCTGTGGTCCTACCAAGATGATTCTTTTCGGCTAGAAACTTAAAAAAAAACTGATTTTTTTCTAAATTCAAGTACGTTTATGGGCCAAGCATATTGTACTTAAGTTTGTATGAACTCAATGATAAAAGACTTAAAGAATAATATTGAGGGTTACTCCCTCCGTTTTCATTTATATGTTAACTATTAAAAATAAATATTTTTTAATATTTGTCATTTCACAACATTAATACATAAACAATATTACTCTTTCTATTTTATCTTTGAGAGTTATACGCTTGAAAATATGAATATGATCAGCATGGAAAATTAAATCATTAATTCATGTCATTGGTCATTTAATTAATTAAAATATATTATTTATGCTCATTTATTGGAAATTTGACTTCAAGAGAACACTAAATAAATATACAATGGCAAACTTAGTTTCATAAGAAACAAAAAATCTAAAATGGTGACATAAATAAGAACGGACAAAGTATAAACCTATTTTAATGTTATAGTATTAAGACTCAACATTCTAATTACTATAAACTATACGAAATTAATCTATTGCAAATACATTTGATATTAGAATTGTAAATCCTTATTCTAAACTACGTTGCTCTTTGTCAACACAAGGCATATTTTGAAATTTGAATTTTTTTTCAACCTCAAATGTACGTAGTAGAAGTTAAAAATTTGCAATTAATATTTTATGTAAAAAAAAATTGCCTTTAAAGTTTCAATTACATGTGTCTGAATTTGTTTTGAGCTCACTAATTATATTAGTTGGCAAAAATTTATATAATTGTTTGGTAGCAATTGAAAATTGATAGGGATTTGTTGGAACTTATTATTTTTAGAGGAGGGGAACACGTAGAATCGACATTTATGTTTGTGAAATTGTGATGATGGCCAAATATTGAATATGCGGTCCTCCCTGATGGTAATGTGAAGGGAAAAGGGTCAAAAATACCCCTCAACTTTGGTTTATTGTTTGACTTTACCCTCGCCGTTAAAATGAAGTTAATTTTACCCTTCCCGTTACTAATTTCACCAAAATTACCCCTCATTTGACAGAATCCCCAAAATTAACCCAAATCACCCGAATTTTAAAAAATAAATCATATTCCCTATTTTTAACCCTATGACCCAACCCCTCTAGGATAACCCGGTTAACCAATTAACCGAATGCCCATTTACCCTTGTAGAACAATCAGGCGAGAACCCAACAGACATTAGAGGATTCGGAAACCTCATCGAATGAGTGAGTAATTTTGAAATTCACATAATCAAACACCTTCATATATCCATCCAAAGAGACACTCAAAATCCGATATTGCTGCGCCTCCTCACCACTATCCTTCCCAATTTTACCAACACAAATCGAAGTCACAGTCTTGTTGTGACTCTCCATTGTACATAGCAACTTTCCCCCCTCCAAGTATATCCCAAATCTTCACAGAATTTCCACCAGCAGTAGCAACTAACCCACCAGATGGCAAGTAAATCACATCCTCAACAGGCTTTCCATGGTCAAACTCCATCACCGAACCCGAATTCATCACCCTAACATCCCCAAACTTTCACCGTATGATCATAAGACCCAGAAACAAACATATCATCACTTACAGGAAATTAAAACACTTCCAATAACTCTACAAGAAAATTAAAACACATCCTTTAAAACTCACATCATATTGGCAATTGCAAATATGGTGCTTAGGCAGCCCTCCACCCAAGATAATCATTTCTATCTTCCTCAAACCTGCATGGACAGCATAATTCTTTTGTCAAACAAATTCTTCATTATCCACATTCATATATATTTACAGAACCTGAACAAAATTGCACATTTACATATATATTGATGAACACAATGGAGAAAAGGAGATTATCTATTCAAAGAGAGAGAATGGGTAACGGGGCATTGAGTTAATTGAGTTAACCGGGTTATCCTAGAGGGGTCGGGTCATTGGGTTAAAAATAGGGAATAGGTTTTTTTTTTAAATTCGGGTAATTTGAGTCAATTTTGGGGATTCTGTCAAATGAGGGGTAATTTTTGGTGAAATTAGTAACGGGAAGGGTAAAATAAACTTCATTTTAACGGCAAGGGTAAAGTCAAACAATAAACCAAAGTTGAGGGGTATTTTTGACCCTTTTCCCTAATGTGAATGGTGAAATTAAAGGAGTGGTAACTACATCTTTATGTCATGTGGGTGAGTGGCACCAACATAGTGATGGAATTGTTTCATTATTAATTAAAACTCTTGAATTTGTGCTGTAGTTATAGAGAGAATTTTGTTGAAAATGTCAATCCTTAAATGGGTCCTACAATGAACTATTTAAATTTAATTGAGGCTTCAATACGAATTCCAAACACTCTGAGGAAAATAAAAAACAGACGTTGATAATATAAAAAAAATGGAAGCGTAAATTAGGAGGTGACGATGAACCATATTAGAACAACTCAGATGCAGA